TGCCCTCGTTCACTTGCCCTCGGCTCTTGCCCTTGATAATGAATGAAGTCCTGCATGTCAGTATGGCTTAACATGGTACGTGCCTATGAATTATGTATGTTTCGGAGAGAGTGTGCACGTATTGATTTGCCTGTTTGCTTTAATGTTATTACGTTATTTATTTCAAATGTATCCTAGATTACACCAGGCTGTCAGAAAATATACCAAGTTACCTCTACATAATTTTCGATCTCCCCATATACACAGTTTTGACATCTTCAAGTGGGGATCAAAGACTCCCTATTGGGAACTGAAGATCTAACAATGAACAGGAATCATTGTTATATTAATGCTGTCATTGTGGCTGAACAAAAATAATTGGCCTCAATTCAGCTGCAAATTGAATAGAAATACAAGAACAAAACTTCTAACAGGATTTTTCAGTAGTTTTGTTAATTTATAAGTATTTAAAATAAATTTCAACGTCAGTGCCATGTTGTGTGTGTATAGTTAGCACATATATGGATAAAACAAACAATGAGAAAGTGTGTCTCAGTGGGGAGCACCAATTATGAATTATTCAAACAATTTTTTTAATTACACATTTTAAAAATAAAAACATACTAAATAAAAATATGTTAGACTCACTCATGCTATCATGTCTGTGTAGGAGGTGGTGAATAACCACTAACATTTTCCCATGTACAAGATGTCGAATACAGGTGTCACAGCTCAACTGCTCAGAATATGAGGAGACATACAGCTAAATGTAATACTAAATTATATTTATGATTTTTATAAAAATGTTACAAATACAACTTAATTATTTACAACAATTACTACAACTCTTTACATTAAAGAATTAACCCAACTAAAACATAATAATAATATAATAATATAATAATAATAAAACTAGAGCAAACCCACCCAAACAAGGGGAGAACAAACTCCTCACAGAAAGGCCTAGGGATTTCAACCTAGGACCTTCTTGCTGTGAGGTAACAGAGCTAACCACTAAACCATGCTGCCTTGCTCTTGATGGCTATTCATCAGCCAGGGCGGCAGTAGCTGAGTTTGGTAGCTGTAGAGGTTCCAGTTCCACCTCCTGTGCCCTTAAGCAAGGCACCTAACCCCATAACTGCTACGTGGCAATCCATCACTCCTTATCCATACTGGGCGGCAGTAGCAATGGAAGGTGTCTATAATCCTCCTGATGGGGCGCCTTAACCAGCCACCGTTCCCAGCGTTGTTCTCAGGCTGCTTCCACCTCAGATGTCAGCAGGGACGCTTTGGGGAAAGGACGGCTGCTGATTGACAATCATCAAGTGTTTTACGGAGGCTCTACAGGATGTTGCTGTTCATTGTCTTTCACCATCTTCTGCTCAAAGTTATCAAGAGACTTATGCCTGAAAGATCTTGTTTCTGTTGGTAAATGATAAATGGACCTGTACTTACTATCAGCATTCACTGATGATTTGTCAGTTTAATAACAAAGCAGGAAGTAACCTATCTAATGACTACTTGAATAATCAAGTTTTATCAAAGTGTGTTCAGTTTGTGCAGTAGGGCTTTAACTACTTTTTGGAGGTCATTCTGCACACAGTGTAATCACAGTTTAGACACCACACAACATTGGAGTCTTGGCACATGTCACAATAATTGGCAATAAGTTCCTATAGTGCTCAGGTTTGCCATTGTTCAATGGACCTGTACTTGCATAGCGCCTTTCTAGTCGTCCGACCACGCAAAGCGCTTTTACACTACATGCCACAAACTAACTCATTCATTCACATCACACATGACCCAGCATCAGGAGCAATTTGGGGTTCAGTATCTTGCTCAAGGACACTTCAACATGCAGCCGGAGGAGCCGGGAATCAAACCTACACCCATGGATTGGTTAGATTTATTATTATTATTATTATTATTATTATTATTATTGGACTCTATCTCTGGGCCACAGTAGGCAAACTCCTGTCGTGTCTCCAGCTGCTGGCCGTAGCTTTGATGGTTAAAGTTATACTCATACCCCATACCACGGCCCAGCACATAGTCAGCTGGCTGACCCTGAGTTTCTACAATGAACCTCAGCATATGGTAGTTCATGTTGCACCAAGCCAAAGTCAATCAACTTGACTTCTAATGGCTGCTGTTTGCGGTCCACAACCTTCACATTGACAGACAGTCCACATGTACAACTTCCATGGACCTCAAGTGGGACAGGGCTATGGCCAGTTGATAAATAATAGGCCGCAGCTATGCCATGGGAAGAGCCTTGATTTTCTGTCCTCCATAGACTATTATCCAGGAGTTCAAACCTAAGGCATTAGTGGTCTTTATTGAAGAGATAGCCATTCCACTTAACAGTGTTGCACGTGTCTGGATCTAGACACAGGAGCTGTTTCAGAATGGCAATTTCTTCTCTTGCCTGGTGCACAATTTTGGGGCTGCTCTTGACCTTGACTGCCTTCATTGTGTCCATCTCAATATAGATGAGACTTTTGGGTGAAACAAGCACTGTAAAAGTGCTTTGTGGTACTATGCCTAGAAGCTGCTGCATCACATTTTGCCAATAAAACAATATAAAAAAGCCAATTTACAATTTTCTTTACTTTCCTAATAAATTAAATACAGTAAAAGATCTGTGGCTTTAGGCAGTCCACAAAGAGGATAAACTGGTAAACAGGTAAATGGCTACATTAGTTGAAACATAACCTGCTGGCCCATAACTCGGGACATTTCTGGTCTATGATTATTATGCAGGCTACAGGGTGTCTGGGGGAAAAGAGCGGGGATTAAACGACGGATGAAGTGCAACGCGAGCAATAAGATGGGAATACTGTGAAAGCCGTCTCATGTGTTTCATAAAGACATGACTGCAGGAGGTTATTCCCGACGCAATCGTCACCATCGAGGGCTTCCAGACTGTGTGGGCAGACAGGATTCGCCTTCAGCGAGGCAGAATGCGAGGCAGTGGAGCTGCTTTACTCGTCAACAACAGATGTAATCCTGATCATCTTCATGTGAAGTGTCTGTAACCCAGACATTGAACTTTTGGCTGTCAGACTTCGCCCATACTATTTACTTTATCCTATAGTGAATTTCCCAAGTGCGCAATCAATAAAGTCTATCTTATCTATTTGCCATGTGAGTTCTCACATGTTATTGTTGTGGTTGTAGATATCCCACACAGAGGCAGCGTGTAAGACATACATACTGTCATTGCCAGACTACACCCCAGCACATTCATTTCAATCTCTGGTGATTTTAATCATGTCACCCTGACAAAAACACTGGCAACGTGCTCCCAGTTTGTAAAGTGCCCCACCAGGGAGAACAAAACTCTGGACCTGTTATATGCTAATATATATGATAAGTCGCATTATTCATAATGTGAACTGCTGTATCGCCTTAATTTCCCCCCAGGGATCAATAAAGTACCTATCTATCTATTTATATGGCATATTGCAGCATAACTAAAAAATATAATTATTATAGATATTATTAAGTTTAGATTATTATTTAAGATAATAATTGTAGCACCTGAATATTTTCGGTAGGAAAGAGGTCTAGAAACAGTTCAACCCAGCCAGCTACAACATGAGGTAACTGCAGTTGCTGCCACTGTACAGTGACACATAGGCACATAGGCAGACCTCGCTACTGGCATGTACACCAGTGCTTCCCAATCTGGGGGTCGCCAAAGCTTCATGGGCGGTCATGAGGCCTTCTTGATTTTGAGGGGTGTAAAAAAACGTATGTCTCACATGTACTGTAATATTATATGTATATTATATTGCAGCATTTTGTTCATTTCTAAAGGTTCAACCTGAACACAAACTATGCTCACAGAGCCTTCACTCTGATAAACAATCTCGTCCTGCATTAGAGTTAAAAAATGTACCAGGGAGAAGAAAGCACTGAATTTGTCTGTTGACTATTAAAAAACACATACTACAGACAGAAGATTGTTTAAAAATATCCAAAAAATATTGAATATAATACTATAAATATAATACCATAATACTCAAAATTAATGTAAATTGCTTGTTTTACACAAATATTCTGCTGTTATTGCATTCATATTATTATATATATATTCATTGTACAGTTTATCCGTTGTCCTGTATGTGTTGAATATAATATATGTCACTGAGTGGCGGGGTCGTCAGTTTACTTTATGATAGAAAAGGGGTCCTTTAAGGAAAAAGGTTGGGAACCACTGCTGTACACGCTGGACCTTGAAGTACATTGGACATTGACAAGAACCCAAAGTTCCCACTCGTCATGAACGCAGCACCGTTAACGTTTTAGATGTGGGCGGGCCTGAACGTCTGCAGTGAGATCTCGCGAACTTGAAGCGGGACTCACCAGCGGGAACGCGCGCGCGCCTCCAAGGGTGGACGTTGGTACCGGGCTATCAATCACTTCTCGCATGTTTTGATTCCTGAAAGTTAGTGTCAGTGGACTCGCTGTAAAATGTCCGCTGCGGCGCCGCCTGTAAATGACCAGTATGTGTTTCGTCGACGTGAATTTGAAGAGCTGTCGTCAGAGAACCAGAGAAGATGGCATACTCCCCCTCAACCTGTCCAAGGCAGGCAGACCGCACTACATCAGCAGCGACACAGGGTAAAGCAAAAGTACATTAACAAGCTAGTTGTAGCCTTTAATTACATCCCATGCTAACCGGGAGTGGTGCCGCTGTGTCGGAGCTAAGCTCAGTAAGGTCATATGGCAGTGACAGAGCCTTTCAGTGTCTGTTAACCTCAGTTTGAACTGTTTTAAGTTAGCGATTACCCCATATAATGAGCCATAATAACACCAGCGCACGAACCAAACCCCGTTCAAAAATCTGATACATTAATGTTTCTTTTCAAAGGCAGGCGATACATAACTGGGAGAACATGACGTATGAACGTTAACAATTAACAAGACCAGGCATTAAAGTCGGGGAGTATATGAGCCCGATATATAAGCGGCCGCATCGTTAATAACACACTGGTGTAGTAATAAGTAGAATATAATACATTAATATACACACACCGACGTGAGGGACGGCTTTTCATCGTTTAAGCCCCTCAGGCCATCGGTGTTAATGTATGTATTTACCATGTGTCGCAGCAGCCTCGTACGGGCAGGACAGCAACTTTAAATGGGACGCTGATTCAGTGTGGGTTGGTGGCACGTTCTCTTCACAAGAAGGGAGACCACGTGACAGGGCAAGGCCTTATCTCGAGTTCACTGATGATTTGTGAGTTTAATAACAAAGCAGGAAGTATCATTAGTATCTAATGACAGTATATTATCAAGTTTTATCAAAGTGTGTTCAGTTTGTGCAGTAGGGCTTTAACTACTATTTGGAGGTCATTCTGCCCACAGTGTAATCACAGTTTAGACACAACACAACATTGGAGTCCTGTCACATGTCACAATAATTGGCAATAAGTTCCTATAGTGCTCAGGTTTGCCATTGTTCAACCATTTTTGCTAGCTGTACCCTCTGTCGCATAGATTATTACTTAAACATGATAAAAATGTTTTTATCCCCTTAAGGTCCAGTGTGTAACATTTAGGAGGATCTATTTGACATAAATGAAATATGATATTCATAGGTATGTTTTCATTAGTGTATAATCACCTGAATATAGGAATCATTGTGTTTATGTTACCTTAGAATTAGCTGATTTTATCTCCATAGGGAGAGGGTCCTCTTTCAAGGATACCGCCATGTTTCTACAGTAGCTCAGAAGGGAGCCCAACAGACACGATGACTCTCTTTTTTTGTTTTTTTGTTTGTTTTTTGGGAGGTTTGCGGCGGTTTTCTCCTACACGCTTCGAAGGCTGAGCTGTATTCAAATGGTTGCAATCTGCAACTTCACCACTAGATGCCATTACCTCACTACACACTGGTCCTTTAAAGTTGTCTAAACAATAAAGCTGTTTGAAAAAAGAAAAAGAAATTAAAAGTAGCTGGTAAGTTATGTGGCAACAATGCACACACTGTGGAAAGTACCATAATATCAGAATATCATCATCATGATCATTTTAATGTAAACAGAATTTACAGCCTGTGTTGAAACCCTCTGTTATAGCCCCGGTTTCTTAAGGCCCGCCTTCCAAAAAGCCCAGTCTGGCTCTGATTGGTTCAGCATTATTCATTAAGCTGCAATTATAATTTCACACTTTTAAAATACTGTAAATATATGAATATGTATCATTTTAGTACTGTATGCGCATTTGTATTGATATATTATGAAGTCATTTTCTGTAAACATAATAAAGTAAAATGAAAATGTGAGACAGACATTTTCAATATTGATAGATGTTACATCCGACCAGGTTTCAACTCTTGTCACATGGCAGGAAATTTTCATTAAACCTATTATTTATATAAAACCACACTTATTACTGAATTTAAAAATGGACGCAAAACTCTCACCAAACACTTTATTCATGTTTGATTCATATTCAGTTAAAACAGAAATATCAGATTGTGGTGTTGGTTGCGTAAAAAGTATAAAAAAGCCTATAACTTTTATGTAAGCTTGTGACAGATCATGTCCTCCCAAGGTTTTATGGTTTCTAGTAATAATGAAAGTGTGAGCTGGTAATGGAGCTCTGCAGTAGTGTTCATACCTTAGATGAGAAGTGCAATTTCCTTATGGATAAAATAATTCCACAGACTGTCTGATGCTGCAGAAATGTCTCTGTCCTCTGATGTTCCAGTGATAACACTGAGTTGTATTACCAATGGTCACCATCATGTAAAAAACTTAATGGCAGATTCACTGATATAAAATACGTAATATAGATATAAATACAATAAATCAAGTACATACAGCTACATTGTGGCTCTAAAGTAGTTCCTAACGATTATATAAAATAAAATAATATTATAGCAGTGTCTCTTGGTGGTGTCCCTTGTCAATTTTCACTGTGACTGTAACTTATGTTGGTGACGTACCAAAGGCTCATAAAGTGACAGTACAAGTTCCAGTGGAATAACAGAACATTTAGGTCAGTGAGCTCAGTGTTGTGTTATAACTAAAAAGGAGATGATTGATAGATGGATTATACTGGACTGCAGCTTATAATCGTCAGTAATACCAGTACGCAGGTAACGATAAATATATGATCAGTAAACTTTTTATATAGTCGCGTTTGACTCACCAAACAGCCTATGGGCGAGCACCCAGCTGCTCTGTGCTAATTCAAAGTTACAGAATATTATAAACTGAATATCTCTGCAGTTGAGCTATCCTCGCACCGCAAGTAGCTCTAATCGTTAAAC